TCTCATTTCCTTTAGATCTCTAAATAAATGGCACATTCTCAAGGAGAGCTTCTCAGGTCCCCCTCAATTTCCAGTGCTCCCACTCTCTACTTTACCTGAGTTTATTGCATTTTGCTAAAATAAGCATCACCAACTGAAACATTAAAATATATAATACTAAAATATATAATATTACATTATGTAATGTATTAATTACATATTCTAATTTAACAATGTGATTGTATATTATTATAATTGGTTTTTCTCCTGATTGAAATGTAAGCTCCAAGAGGGAGGAGAATTTGTTTTCTGCTATATCATGAAATCATAGTACAGTGACTAGAAAGTAGTTGGAACTCAAAAAACATTTGCCAACTCAATGAATGAATTTATAAACAATATCTTCTATATATGTATGTATGTATGTGTTTGTCTATCTGTCTGCTACCTGGCTCCTCATTTTGCATGTAAAACTAATTTAGAACTGGAGTGTAAACCTTGACAGGAAAAAAAGAACATTTCTGGATCTGGATACTTAATGTCTTAAGTATCTTATATACTAAAGATATTAATTATATACTTATTTGCCCAATGTTTAGTTTAAGATAACAGAACAACTGAGGATTATAAATCCTCAGTTATTAAAAACATTTAAAAAACATAAATAGTTTTTATTTTCAGAGATCAAGAAAAACAGGTGAGAAATAACAACATAAATTTAAAAAATCAAAGTTTTTAACCCTTATGATTGCAGGTGCTGTAGGAGACTTAAGGATCTGACCTAATGCATTTATCATACAGTGTATCACAAAGGTTGAGTTTCAGAGGAGCCATACAGCATTGTGAGTTGCATCTAACACTTGCTCCTAAGAAATGCTAAGAAAGTCAAAGACTACTTCTGCAGGCCTCCACTGGTGGGTCTTTTTAATGGTATTGGACAGTAAATACGGCAGTAAGGTATATGAGAACTGAATTACTTAATGAACATAAATAATTTAACACACTGTGTGGCAGATACTTAAGAGAATTCAAATACTGAAGAAAAGATATAATAAAATTTACCAAACTGTAATTTGATATATTATTAAAAATAATTTATAAAAGCTTTTTTAAAAGTCTACTTTGTGCTGCTTATTAAAAAATACCCTAAAAGCTGGGTGCTGGTGACTCAAAAAATACTTGGGAGGCTGAGATCAGTAGGATTGTGGTTTGAAGACAGCTGAGCAAAAAAGTTTCTGAGAATACATCTCAATGTGAAAAATTAGGCGTGGTTGTACACACCTGTCAGGGCAGCAATGACTAGAAGTCATAAGATAGCAGGATCCTGGGCCAGGTAGGCTAGGCAAAGAGCAAGACCCTATATCCAAAATGACCACAGGAAAAAGGGCTGCAGGTGAGCAGGCAGGAAGCCCTGACTTCAAACCCTAGTAACACACACCATAGACACACACACATACACACACACACACACACACACACACACACACACACACCCTAATTTATTTACTTTTTTCTTATTTTTAGCATATGTTAACTTACAAAAGGGTTTCATTGTGATATTTCCATACATGCATATGCCCTCTATTACTTTCTCATCAACCACCTCTCCCCTTTTAAAATAACTTTAACTGGTTTTAGTATACTATTTCCACACATTTTCACTCCCCCCACACACTCTTTTTGCCCTCCTCCTCTTGCTGAATTCCATTCATAAGTAGTCCATTCTTTACATTTGTGTCATTCTTTTTTTTTTAAGGTCTAGATATAAAAGAGAACATGCAATGTTTGTCTTTCTCAGTCTGGCTTATTCACTTAAAATAATGATGTCCAGTTACATCCATTTTGCTGCCAATGAAATAATTTCATCCTGCTTTATGGCTAAATAATACTCCACTGTGTATATACACCACTTTTTATTTATCTATTCATCAGTTCAAAGGCTGATTCCAGAGCTTGTCCATTGTACACAGTGCTACTATAAAACTTCAGTGCATAGGGATCTCTGTTGTGTGCTGACTACATCCCTTCAGTTATGTGCCAAAAAGTGTTGTAGCAGGATCATATTGTGGTTCTATCTTTGGTTTTTTGAGGATCCTTTATACTGATTTCCATAGTGACTGCCTTAATTTACATTCCCACTAACACTCTGTAAGGTTTCCCTCTTCCCACATCTTTGTCAGCATTAGTTGTTTAGTTTCTTGATGACAGCCATTATGACTAGGGTGGGATGGAATCTCAATGTAATCTTGATTTTCATTTCCTTTATAAGTCAGGGTGCTGAGCATTTCTTCATGTGTTTATTATAGGAAGAACATTTGAGAACTGTCTGTTCAATTCATTTGCCCTTTTTTAATTGGATTGTTTGATCTTTTGTGCTCTTTATTATTCTGGATTAGATTATTTATCTGATGAAATATAAATTGTCAAAGGTTTTTTTTTCATTCCAAAGGCTGTCTCTTGTTCTGGTATTTGTTTCCTTTGCTGTGTAGAAGCTTTTTAAATTTGATGCAATATCATTAGTCAGTTTTTTACCTTATTTCCTGAGCAGTTGGAGTTCTATTCAGAAAGTGTTGCCTATGCCTATATCTTCAAAGGTTTACCCTAAGTTTTTCTGGAGTGGTTTCAAAGTTTTAGGTTTTCATTAAGATCTTTGATCCGCCTTGTGTTATTTTTTGTACAGAGTGAGATTGGGGTCTAGTTCCAGTCTTCCACATGTGGATATCCACTTTTCCCATCACCATTTCCAACATATGTTTTTGGTATCTTTGTCAAAAATCAGATGGCTATAGTTGTGTGAGTTTATTTCTGGATCTCCATTCTATTCCATTGGCCTACATGTCTGTTCTAGTGCTGCTATCATGCTGTTTTTTTTTTAAAAACTATGACTCCTAAAATCATATGAAGACTGAGTGATTTATAATAAACAGAAATGCATGACTGACAGTTCTGTAGACCAGGATGTCCAGTATCAAGATCCTGACAAGGGATGACATCAAGCCCATCCTTGAGAATGGAACTGATTAACTACTGAAGCTATCACTTCTTAGTACTCTTTCAGTTTTATTTAAATTTCAACATAAATTTTGGAAGGGAGCAACATTCAAATAATAGCAATAGTATTTAACACTTGAGGTATCTTATCAAAGACAAATAGTTTCCATTAACAAGCTGTATCAAGTCTTTTCTTTGTGGTACTGGGGTTTGAACTCAGCCTATACCTTGAGCCACTCCACCAGCCATCAGCCCTTTTTTTGTGATGGGTTTTTTTGAGATAGGGTCTTGCAAACTATTTGCCTGGGTTGGCTTTGAACCACAGTCCTTCTGATCTCTGCCTCCCCTGAGGTAGCTAGTATTACAGGCGTGAGGCACTGGAGCTTAGCTTTATCAATTCTCTTTAATGTCTAAACTGAAACTCTCCTATACAATACTCCTGAAAAGGCAGCAATAAAAAGCGTACTAAGTTGTCCAAAGCACAATTAATTTCAGCATATAAAATTGTACCTCAAAACATTTTACCATGGACATTTAAGAAAGAAGAGTATGATCAAATTTTTGATAAAGACCCAGAGGTAAAGTCGTAATGAACAAGAAGGCAAATAAATGAGACCAGTGAGGTGTCATGGCCAGAGGTTACAGATTCATAATTATCACACTGGTGATTTGAGGACACATGGCTATCCTAAATGTAAACTACTGGGAATCAAGTAGCAACCACATATGTACATCAGTTCTTTTGGAGTTCCACTATTACTAGACAAGCATTATAGTCCTTTCACACATCACATTTGAGGCATCTTCATTTCTTCACATATTCATTTAATTTAGTTCCAAATCAAATATTCCCTGAATACCTACCCTGTGCCAGCCATGGGGCTGGATGCTGGGGAAATACACTCTACCCTTATGGAGCCTATACACTTGCATGTAAGATTGATAAGAGGTTAGTGACTTTTGATAAGAAGTGTAAAGCAAGAGAGCAAAAGACATATCCCTATGTCCTGTGCACTGCTCCTTATTTTTATAATAATAATTATTAAATATTTAAATTAATAATTATGTTTTAAAATAATATTTAATAATTATTATTACATGTTTAAATTAATAATAATCCTAATAATATCTTTAAATTATTTTAAGGAATTTTAATAATGTTGAGTGATCTAAAATATACATACTGTCAAAAACACCAAAGCCTTTTAGGCAGTCTCAGAAACCAGTAGGGTGAAATATAGCTACATGTCATGAATACTTATATAATTGTCTTTTGGCATAGCTACCAGGTTATTCCTGAGGTATAAAATGTGTGTGTGTATGTATGTGTGTGTGTGTGTGTGTGTGTGTGTGTGCGTGTGTTGGAAGAGGTGGGAGCAGACAGGCAGCAAAAACAATAGTAAAAGAAAGAAGGAAGTGTAAATAGAGGTAAAATTTTTACATCAACTAAGAAGGTTAATGTGCTTCATCCTTTAGATTTCTAAGACCTGATACAACTGCCCTCTGTATAATTACTAATCATTTGAATACTAATATATAGACTATATAGCTTATCAACACTTATCTTTTTCCTTTAGCATATGTAGAAATATACTTTCTAATTTTTGTTCTTATAAAATATGTTTTTAAAATCTCTATTTCCAAGGTTGAAAGATATAGCTTTTCTCCATAATCACACATCCATATATGGCTTTATTGCATTTTTTACCCAGTTACCATGTGAGAAGGTTTGAGATTTAAACTAGAAGTATCATCTGGCAGAACACAAATTCTTTCTTGACTTCATTTTGTAGTAGAAATTGTTGCATCCTTCTGTACTGATTTTGATACAATGCCATGCCCTATTTCTATCAAGGGAAAAAATGCAATGGAAAATGTGCACACATTTTCTTTGAAAATATTTCTTTCAAGGATTGGGATGCTTTTGACCCATAAATGGTAAAATAAAGCATCTTTTCCTACACCAACCAATGCATATAAACAATGAAAGTAAACACTTAAAAAAAATCTCAGCTGGACATGACCCTTACCTGCATCTCTTGACAAAAGGATGCTAAGGGCCCAAAGAGAATCTGACATTGCTCGTCTGCAGTGTAGGTCATGCCCGGCAGTGTGGAGGGAACCATCACAGAATTGATACTCTGGGGATTTGTCTGCAGCAAGCAGTTACTGGCCTTTGACCTGGCAACATGCAGATAAGTGCAAATATTTGAATTTAATGTAAAAAGTTGTTTTAATTGGTTGGCATAAAAACAAGAAACATTTTTATATTACAATTATGTTTCAAATTTTACTTAGATGCTTTCTTATTGAATATCTAAGAAATCATTCTCTATATGAGAATCAGTTATCTAAGATAATTCTAATGAATAATAAAATAATAATAAATAATATAAGACAATCATAAAAATATGGTTCAAGTTAAAAGAATATTTTGGTTTATAAAACCTTTCATATGAATTAACTTAGCTAATCTACATAATACTGTGAGGTCAGTATTAATTAAGCATTTATAAGATATAGAAGCTCAGATTTAGGGAGTAACTTACTCAAAGCAATGTGTATATTAGCTATACTTGGGGATTTAAAGAAATTATTTTCAATTGAGTATCAGTCATGTGGCTATTTCTGTATTTGACATTATAACAGAACTTATAAATATGAAGTGATATTTAATTTGAGCACAGTCCAGATTCATGTGAAGACAGCCAGACATAAATTTGGATGTTCCTGAGAAGCATATCCATTAGCATCTACTAAAGGTATGTTCAAATTATTATATATTCTTAAAATTGCCCCCAGACTATCATGACAAAAAGTACATACAGAATGAACTGTGCGTGTAAACACACACACACACACACACACACACACACAGTTTCAGAAGAGTTATGGTAATACAGCCAACACATTTTAGCATACCTTAATATCTGTTTAATAGAAAAAATAGGATCACCAGTTCGGTGAGTGTGGAAAAATGAGTAAAGTTAACCTCTGTACTTCACCTCTAGCCTGTTCCTGTACTTGTTATTTAGACTTTTAGATACCTTAAACATCTTTCTTCCTACCTTACATATCACATACTGTTTTTTTATCTGTTCCTTTTATTATCAAAGGCATAAATAAAGAATAAAGGCTTTAAGATGAAAATGAAAACAACAGCAATATTTTTTATGTCTTTTTCCAACCAGACAAAAGCTAAACATTACAATTGTTGAAGGTTTATAGTTTAGAAGTATCATAATGGAAAAGTGGAGGTTCTGTTAAGGAGGTCCTTCGTGATAGTAACAGATGTGTTGGGTGATGACCAATGAGCAGTTTTCCACCTGGAAACATTGAAGAGGCAATTAAATGCTGTAACAGATTTTTATCATTGTAACAATTTTCAATCTTACACATTATCTTGCCCATCTTTTCATCTGAAAAAATAAGGAAACTCAAAGCAGATGGGTTAAATAATATGTCCCAAGCCACACTGTGAGTCAACAGAAGAGCTGAGGTTGTAATCAAATGCTGCGATTGCTACTTTGGTGGCCTTTCCATTTTGTCATGCTGCTTTCCCTGGTTGGCAGAGGAAGCAGTCACACATAAACATGTGCAATGCAACAATAAGTGATCTCAATACCTGAGAAATCTTTCCAAGTCTTCCTTGCTGCATCCAGACCATGAAACATCACCAAGATTTTGTCCTTTAATCCACTCACCAGACATGATATGAAGACCATCAGCACACGATGGGTGGTCATTGTCATGATTAATGCCCATGCTGATTCAGAATATAGTTGAAATAAAAAGATTAATATTAAGTAGATCTTATTTTAAAACTTTTCACTAGTGCAAATCAATAAGTTAAAATACTTAATTGGAAAGAAATCTGTTTTAAAGAAATAAATTTATTAGCTTAATTTATGTTAAAATTTTTGTTACCTAGATTAAAGGTAAATATTTTCATCTAAAAAAGAATATTCCCCCAATCAACCTACAAAGTGCATGCTTAGGTCATCTATATCAAAATTATTTACAGGTATATTTTTGCATAGTATTATATATAAAACTAAAAAATAATAAATTTCTCTTCATCTACACTAGAGTCTTGCTTTTGCCTGAATCAATTTCTTTCTCTGATATCTGAAATATCTTTTATCATACCTGAAGCCACATTAAAATATCAACTATGCTTTTCCTCCTGCTTCATTACACCATCTTCTTCCACCCACCCAAATAACATAGTCTCTTGGAAAGCTTCCACATTGGAAAGCTTCTTTCTCTTTTATAGTGAATCCTAAATCTGTTGATTTAAGTTGAAATTCTATTCTGAAATCTGACTTACCTATATGTGGACATTCTAGAAGCACCTGAAACTCTACATGTCTTTCAAACCTCTATTTACTTCTGCACCTTTTTTCTCTCTTGTTCTTTTTAACATACTTTTGCTAGCCACTATGCCTTCCAAATAAAGAATAATAGGATCAACATTTTTTATCCTCTTCTCCTGAATTGTCATTTACTAAGTATTAGGGTCAATCCCTGCCAATTCTACTTTCTAAATATTTCTCTCAACAGTTACCTTCTTTCTATTCCTATTGTCACTGTTGAAGAGGATTATAAAACAGTCTTATTAGATGGTCTTGGCATCTTATTAGATGGAATTCTTAGTAGGTTCTATGTCTTTAATCCTTACTGATATTCTCCCTTACTCTCCCTTCTACTCTGCTTCACTGAGGTCTGCCTACAATAAAATTTGACCATGCCATTCCTCTGCTTTCTTCTTGCCTAATATGGCAATTTCTAGCTCCCTGACAAGTTACACAGCCCCTTCATCTTCTTCCATGTCATTTGTTGCATTTTCTCTTCAGCAATACCAAATGACTTATAGTTTTCTGCTATTTTGTTTATTATTCTCTTACAATTAGTTATTATTAGAATTTCTTATCTTTCATATACCATAAGATAAGCTTTATAACCTTGTAAAAAATCTTAAAGGGTAGGAAAAATTATAATGTACACTTGTTTGCATAAAGCTATACAGTGGGAAATTGGAAAGCAAAAATATCTGAACTGAGGTAAGCTCTAGAGCTCAAGTGATGAATCATTATACTTTAGTCATATGAACTACATTCTCCCCCCCCCCAGAGACTGTTGCTAGCCATACCTCATCTATTTGTACTATCATTTCTTTCACTGTTGGTACAGTGCTTTTTATATTCAATTGTACATTTTTTAACTTTTTGGTTAATTTTCTAAATCCTTGAAAAGGACAAGGATCTTTTCAAAATTCTGAAAGCCTGCCATATTACAATCACAGTTTACATAACACACATTTAAATGTTGACCCTACTATCATGGAGAATCCCTTCTATTTCAGAAAAATTCATATCTTGAATTCTTATATAAAGCCATTAAAATAATTATTCAACTGAAGAAGCAGAAAAGGAAAAGTTTGTTTTTATACATACTAATCCTGAGATGATGTAGAATAAGCCAATATTCCATTTTTTCTAATTGTCTAGACAATAAATAAAATTCTCTTTCATAATGAAAAATTTACAAAAATATCTGTATTGTATTTTAAAGCACTAAAAGAATTGTTATCAAAGTTGATACCAAAAGTCACATCTGGACTTAAGCTTTTTCAAATAAAAAATTTAAAAATGACATAATTTAACTTCATTTTCATTAAGATAAATTAAAAATTTGAATCAAAACTGTCATGTCATGACAATATATTCCTAGAAGAAGAAACTGATATGGAAGTAATAAATAAACTCCATCCATCTCATTAATGAGTTAACAAAAACTGCATTACTATGTCTGCTGACTTTTGCTAAGAAAAAATAAAATTAAAGTTAATTATTGAGGGAGAAGATCCAAGATGGAGGTTAGGATAGGGAATCAGAAATCCTAAGCTGCATGGCTCCAGAAACCATCTTAAGATGTCAGACCCACACTTGGGTAATTCTGATCACTTCTAGCCAAAATAATGACTGCCATCACTTAGGTGCACATAAAATCAGCTTTTAATTGCACAAAGCAGCTGTGAGAATCCTGCACAGCACAGCCAGTGAGACATTACTGGCCATGGGAAAAAAGCCTCCTGCACATTCCTCTCTCTCTTTTTTTTTCTTTTTCTCCCAACAAGCAGAGCATAGAGCATCAATGAGACTCAAACTCTGTGACATCCTGGACCCCTAACCTGTAGAAAGCCTCCTTATGCCATGGTACACTGAGAAAAGCAGCACCATTTTCCCCACTGGCCAGTTCCAAACATGTTTGTGTGAATCTGAAGAATGAATAGATGAACATCATGCACCCCCTGGGAACATAATCCAGTACAGCCTCTGAGCAGCCTGAGCCCCCCAACAAAACTGAAAAGCATAAACAGTGAACTGTAATCTACAATTGACAGCAGAGGTGGGGGTGGAATGCTGAACCTGCCCTGGAGAATGGGGGTGAGGGAAGGAGCTGAACTTCAGCACCAAACTCTCAGTGAATGAATGTGGGTAAGGCAACAAAGGCTGAGAGTAAGGGTGGGGCAACAAGTCAACCTCCCAGAGGAGCTGCTAGTACCAAGCAGAGATCAGGAGAGGAACAAAGGCTGAGAGGTGGAATGGAGCTAAAAGCCAACCTCTCAAAGCAAAGCAGGTGGTGGATCCCAGATCTGATCTCATGGGAAAGAGGGCAGTATAAAAACTGAATTGCCCCACCTTGCTGGGGAAGGAGCTGACCAAACAGAGTTGTAGCTGAAGGGCAACACAGCAGCCGCCTGTTGAAAACAAAACTGCATTAACTGGCAGACTTACCTCACTACCCAATTGCAGCTAACCCTGTGGACAGAAGGAACCAAACACTACTCACAAGACAGTCACCTTGTGAGACCACATCAGAACTCCTGCTTATACAACAATACCAGGACTGGATGCCTAAGGAACAACTCCAGAACTTTTAGCAAAAGACTGAACATTTTGTTGCTCTTGTACCTGGTGTTTTTTGTTGTGTGTGGTTTTTTTCTGTAATATTAACTTTACCATCACTATTTTCTTATCCCTATTCTTACCCCATTCACTTTCTCTCCTTCTTCTGTGCTACAATCCAGTGTTCTCCCTCCCAATAACTCTTTCTGCTTCTTCTCATCCACTCCCTCCGTGTCTTCACCTCCTCCTCCTATCCTACCCCAATCTATCAACACATTACCCCTCCCTTCTGCATACTCACCACCCACTGCCTAGCCTACTATACCCACTGCACACAACCCCAGATCCCTGTAATCCTTGACACAAGTACCCTCCATTACAACAACAAAAATACACCCAAGCAAGCACAAGGGTGACAAAACCCAGCATCCCTCACACCTCTTCCCCCACACACCCACCACTTCTGCTCCCCTTTCGTGCCACCTTTACCAATTACCCAAATTTCTATCTCTAGCCTAATAACCATTGGCCCCCAACTCCCACTGTTTATAGATATTTTCACCAAGGGGTTTTCTACATAATATATAAACAACTGGTTTGGCATTGAACTTGTGAATTTGTTATTGCTAAATTACACCTCCAGGCCAGGGACAGAAAGAGCACAGGAACCTAGCTAACTTCCAAGTTAGTCATAACACAAAAATTAAATCAAGGGAAAGAAAACAAGCAGTTAAAAATACCAATTAGGCTATCAAGAACATGGTTGCACAGCACCAAGTGGAGCAATGGGAAGAAAAAGAAAGAATGGAAACCACTTTCTCCCCAAAAATAATTCAATACCATATTTGGTGGTAAATGAAGAAAATGGATACACAGTTCCTAACCCCAACAAAACAATGATAAATGTCACTCAAGAGCCCAGTGATGCTCACAAAAAAACCCTTAAAGAGGAAATCTTGGAAGAAATTACAGAGCAATTTATAGAGATGATACTAGACATGGTTAACCAGAATGTACAAGATGCACTGAAGAAATTTCAAGACACCAAAAAATAAAGAACATTAGTAGAAACAGAAACAAATGAAGGAACTCAGAGAGGACTTCAACAAACACTAAAGTGAAACAAAGGACACTATAAAAAGAGAGATATATGAATTAAAGATGACAACACAAAATATGGAAGAAGAGTTGAACAAAGATATAGAAAACCTCAGAAAAAAAATCAAACAGAAATCCTGGAAATAAAAAGTCCGTTCAGTCAAACAAAAAACACAGTGGAAGGCCACTTCAGCAAACTAGAACAAGTGGGGACAGAATCTCAGAGCTCAAAGATAAAACAGTAATTAAAGAAAAACAGAAGAAATCTTAGTCAAACAACTCAAGACGTGTGAAAGGAATATGCAAGAACTCAGCAACTCTATCAAAAGACCAAACCTGAAAATTATAGGTAATGAAGGAGAAGAGGTGCAAGAAAAAGTAATACAAAATATATTCAATAAAATAATAACAGAAAATTTCCCAAATCTCAAGAAAGTTTTGCTCATTCAAGTACAGGAAGCCTCCAGGACACCACAGAGACTTGACCAAAATAGAACCTCCCCACTGTATATTATCTTTAAAACAACAAGCACAGAGAACAAAGAAAGAATATTGAAGGCTATAAGAGGAAAAAAAAAGGATAAAGGTAAACCCATCAAAATAACTGCACATTTCTCAATGGAAACCTTAAAAGCAAGAAGGGCATAGAGTGAGGTATTTTGGGCACTGAATGAAAGTAATTTCAGCCCTAGGATACTCTATCCAGTAAAACTATCATTCAAAATAGATGGAGCAACAAAAATCTTCCACGATAAAC